TGAACTGGGGCGTGACTGGGAAGCGTGGTCCTTCCTCCCCTTTTACAGTTGCCGGGAGAGGAGCGGGAGGCGGGCTGTCACCGAAAAGCCTGATTCTGCTCCCCGCTGGTTTATTCCCAAGGAAACAGGGACAGACCCCACGTGCAGCCCCCTGAGCAGGCCGTCTGCTTCCTCCGGAACGTCCCCGTCGCTTCACACCTCCCGGGTTATCACTGTGCATCGCCCCTCCTGCCGCCCCTCCCGCTTTACTGGGCCCTGTGCTCAGCCCTGCCTGGCCAGTCTAGGCGCTGGTTTAAGCCACTGTGTTTTAAGCCGAGGTTTAAGCCGTTTGTGAAGTGGAACAACTTCAGGCAACAGAGGCGGCAGCACGAGGGAGGCGCTGCTGTGAAATGGATGTGTCTGAAAGAGAACTTGATTGTGGTGCGTGTCCACCGGGAGACTCCCGTTCCAATTGCAGAAGTCAAAGACTGAGGGGACGCGAAGCACCACGCGAGGTTTTATGTGTGTATCCTCACACCGGGCTGGGATGCAGTTAGTGTTTTACTTGAAGTCCCGGTGGGGCTCTTTGGAAGGAGAATTATCCCTCATTGTCCAGCCCAAAATACGTATCGGGGAAGGACAGTGAGGGTCCAAATACTCCAAATAAAACCTCCATGGCTTTAGAGAGGGGAGAGGCGGGTTGGGAGGGATGGAGCTGGGCGCAGGCTTGGCTCCTGACTCCCTCTGCTGGCACTCCCAGAAAGGAAACCAGTGAGAACTGGGAGTAAAACTGCCCGCATTAACACAGCCGTGTTGAACATCGAGTTGGATTTTCGCTACTTTTGGTTTTAGGGGTTTAAAATACATTTTAGGTGTGTCAGAACTCTACATCAGATACCATATATAGTTGTCAGCCAGTGACACACTTTCAGGCCTGGAAGAAAATGTAAAGTAGCAACTCATGATGGTGCCTTGCTTACAGTAAAGCTGTTTTTACTGGATGGAATACAGCTCTTAGCACATGGTACTGCGTTTTTTTTAATCGACGGAATGCGGTTCTTGCCACATGTATTTTAGGTGAAGCGGTGTCTGGGCTGCTCTCCCTGCTCTCTGGGATGACGATGTTTTGTGAAAAGACCGTTGTCATTTGTCATTCTCAGGGTTCTGCTATTCATTTGTTTGTTTCCAGCATCCTGTTCTGGATGAACCGATTGCAGAAGCCGTCTGCATTATTGCAGACACGGACAAATGGACGGTGCAAGTGGCCAGTAGCCAGAGACGAATGATTGATAATAAGCTGGGAAAAGAAGTGTTAGTCTCGAGTCTCGTCTCCAACCTGCTTCATTCCACTCTTCAGCTTTACAAGCATAATTTATCTCCAAACTTTGTAAGTATCGAATGACAGTTGAGAGGGTGATGGTTTTTAAAGCATCCTTTCGCTACAGAGGTTAAAGTGTAAGGTTAAAGACTAAGGTTAAGTGTAAGGTTCTGCCTAGTTTATTTGCCTGTAGCCACAATTTCAGTAGCCAATGACATAGCTGTTTGCTCTGTCCACTGAAATGCTGCTCTAATCAGGCCAGCTGTCTCGTTAATTCTGATTTAACGTGCAATCAGAGGCTTCTGCTCAAAAGTAAGAGTCATGGCAGAGAATGTCTTGCTAATTATTGACCTAGACACGGCCGCGGAAAAGGCAGGAGGCGTGTGGGCTCTGGGCTGGTCGGCTCTGGGGCGGGTGTGGATTGGATAGAACGCTCTCTTCTCCCTGACACAACTCCCTTTGCTTTCTAGTGCGTTATGCACCTGGAGGATCGCCTGCAGGAGCTCTATTTCAAAAGCAAGATGCTGTCGGAGTATCTCAAGGGCCAGATGAGAGTTCACGTCAAGGAGCTGGGCGTGGTGCTGGGGTACGATCACAAACTCCCTCCGAGCGGTGCTGCCCTGGGTGTCCTGGTGCCAAATCCTCCTCCTGGGCTTGTTCTAAGCGCAGCAAAATGGATTCCTAAATGGAACTGGAACCGTAGTGTGGCATAAATCACCCATGCCCGCAGGCTTCTCCTTAGCCATTGCTTGATCCCGAGGATCCCCCAGCCTGTCTCTCTTCCCTCCGGGCAGGAAGGTGGGCTCAGCACTCCAGAGCTTATCAGACTCCTTCCTTACCCAGTCAGTCCTCACTGAGCAACGGGGGGCACCTCCTTCCCCCAGCTGAAAACACCCTCCGGGGGTGTGGGGCGCAGGCAGAGAAGCTATTTCAGGGGTGTTTATAGGAAGGCTCTGAGTATCTTTTTCTCTAGAGGAGTCGGGGGGGAGCAGGGAGGCCCAGGGAGCACACGTGGAGCTGGAGCTGGGGGAGCAGCTGCCGCGGGTCGACCCGCAGCGCGGTGCCAGTGCTGCTGCAGGAGTTTCTCCTGGTCCTCCTGCGCTCTGTCCCCCAACTTCCTTTACTTCGAGGGTAGGAAGGAATCTGCTGCTTTTCCTCCCTCCATCTGCTGTCTCACCATTGTGAAAAATAATAATAAATTAATAAAAAAAAAAAAGCCCAACGCGGCAGGTAGGAGCCGCGGCAGCGTTGGCAGTGCGGAGCTGCCGCCGTGGCACGAGCAGGCGCGGCCGAGGGGCTGCTGGAACCCCGCTGGAGGTTGGGAGCGTGCGGCCGCCCGGGGAGAGGCACAATCAGCTTCACTCTGGCTCAGAGAGCGTCCCGGGGCTCGCAGCCGCTCGGGCTCCAGCGGGCAGCGTGGTTGCTGCCACACGTGTCCAGCCCAGCTCCGCTTCGCCTTCGATTAAATGTGACTCTTCTGCTTCCTTTTAGGATCGAATCCAGCGACCTCCCTTTGCTGGCAGCTGTAGCGAGCACTCACTCTCCGTATGTTGCCCAGATACTGCTTTAAAATGCCAGAGGCTGTAGACGTGGACTTTTTTTCCTCCCCTCTGGAAACGAAGTGGAAGACAACTTGTTCTGGCTCCTTTCTCCTTAAAGCAACTGAAACAAACTGCTCGTGGAGCTGCAGCCCCTCCATATGTGACTGCGCGTTCTGCGAACACTTGGAGACTTGTTTTCCTCTCCCACTTGGTCATTTATAGAAAAGGATAAAGAAAGGAAAAAAAAAAAGCAAAAGTGAGTAAGGCCGAGATTTCAACCACAGAAAAGCAACGATTTTAGCAAAAGCTGAAGATCTGCATTTTTTTTTTTAACCAGTTTCTGCCACAGCGGCTAACTGCAGTTGATACTGGGGGACGTGGGGAAGAGCTGCTCGGAGGAATAGTGATGCTCTCGCCAATTAGAAACTTAACGAGAGAACGCAGCAGCTGTCTTCAGACTGGCTTGTGCTGATGAGGATCTCGTTAAGTTCTGTCAGTCTCAAGCTGCAGTGATTTGTAAACAACAACTTCTACTTTTTCATGTCACAGTCCAATTCTGGATCCTTCCCAGAGGAAGAGCAGGGGTTGGGAGGGGGGGGGGGGTTGGTTATTAATGACACTGAGCTCCAAAATTTATTTATGATCTTTCTCCTGGGGGGGCGTAGGAGGGGACAGGGAGGAAGAGGCCAACAGAGAAGCTAGCGATGGAGATTCCCTTTCTTGGCCGGATATTGTAACCAGTATTAATTGTTTATAATGTTTAAATGTTGCTTTCTACTAAGTGATGCTTTCCTTCCACAACGTAATCAAAATGATTTAAAAAAAAAAAAAAAAGAAATCTAAAGAGAACGTTGGCTGAAATTTCCCCATGGGGTCCCCAGAATGACATGACTATTACCTCTAACTTTTTTAAGGTCTATAACGTTCTTGCAACATCATATTGTTTTTACAGCAGTCGGTCAGCTCTTGAAATAATGAACTAGAAATAATTGTACCAAAGCATTCGGGAAGAAACGAATAGACTATTATTACCCTTAATTGCTCAGGTAACTAATTGATATATTTTTTAAAACCGTGCTACAAAAAAAAAAAAAAAGAACATTGATTACGCCATAGTCTAGTAAGATCAAAATTATTTTTTGACAAAGATACCCTTGATGCAGATGACTCTAATCCCTTTTCTACTCACTTGTGTAATTACCAGCAGGAAATGTTGTTTATTTTATTCTCGGCATTTCTCCTTTACTCAGCCATCACTGTTTTGTCATTGTATATACAATAGTTGTACGAATAGCTGATGGACCCAAGCTGGTGTAAGTAATGTAAATAGACAGTGGTAGGTGGATTTTGTTTTCAAAGGCTCTACTACCTCAGTTTAACTGGACACTTCATTACAGGCTTTTCTTTGCGTATTTGTCCTAGCAGCCAATTATTGTTGCTGATTTTTAGGTTCTGTTTTCATCGATTATGTTCAGTATATTGAAATCCATGGATTATCCACAGAAGTAGGAGATACGTGTTCACTCGGTTGCTCAACTCTATAAACAGTTCTATAAATAATGTCATTCTGTAATCATCTTTTCAGTAGCACAGCACGCCTGCTATTGTTGTTTGCAGAGTTATTTTAAATACCAATCTATTTTAACCATTTGATAAACTTGAAAACAATAGGAGAGATCCCTGCCCCGCCGCTGTCAGTGACAAAACTCTCCTCCCTTCCTTCGCTGGGGCCGGGGTTTCACCCAGAGCGGGTTTTTTTCAGTAATATTTAAAACCTGTAACTTAAGGCTCTTGCTCCAGGGATGATCTACATGGCAAACCCACACCCCTTTCCACGTAGGACTGAGTCGATGTTACTGAGTAACCCAAACGTTCAGAGAGGCAGTGTCACTGGAAACTTGTGTATAAAACCTAACGCTGACTGCTGCAGGGAAGAAACTTGCGTTTCATGTGACCTAAGGACGTGTTTCTCCCCTGTTCTTCACTTGTCCTTCCTTCACCACGCCGTTTTGGGATGAGCACACAACGTAGGGGCCCGGTTGCGTAAAGACGTTTTTAACGGAATAGAGGATTGAGCTCGGAACGTGAATTTTTAACTCTTTGCTCTGACACATCACATCGCCCTAGGGAGGGTGCTGAGTGTTTGCAGTTGGAACCTGGCGATGTCGGTCCCGGGGCTGCGGAACCCCGAGGATTCGCCCCCGCCGGGGGGATGTGGGATCCCCCACGGACGTGTCACCACCCCGGCACCCCCCGCGACAGGAGAAACACCCCGTTCTCCTCCACTGAACCCTTACTGGGCCAACTGTTGGTATTGCTTTGAATTTGACTCTCGAGATTTTTTCATTTGACTCCCAAGAAAGGCCCTTGAGCAGCTTGAAATTAGTATTAATGTGAGGAGGAGGGAAGGTGCCTGTCGGGGGGTTCCTCCAGGCGAGCGGCGGCCACGGACGCGGCTCCCTCCTGGGCCGGTGCCACCCCCTCGAGCGCTGTGGTGGGCAAAACACAACCAAAACCCTCGGGCGGTGGGAAGGGTTTTTTCTGTAAGTTACCTCTGCGGGTACGTGAGCACCGCGGTACGTGAGTCTGTTTGTTAAATAATACAAAAAGGGATCTTCTACAGGACTATAGCATCGACTTCTAGAAAGTATCTCGCGATTGTTTTATGTGAATAGAAAACTAATGTTTGATTTCTTTTTTCCACTATTACCAATCTCCATTAACATGTCTTAATTTTCTGGCTGAAAACTAAGTGTACTAGGCACACAAATTAGCAAATTTGTTTTTGTTGCAATTGGCAAACACTGGGCTGCTAAGAACAAAAGATATTTAAAAGAAAGGATTTTACACCTCGCGTTATGTTTTCCCTATTAGTTGTTATAGATGTTTTATGACAATTTTTTGCTTTCTCTAAATTATTTAGATGGTGGTACTTGTAAAATGCTGGGTAAAATGTACATACTTGTTATCTCTTCTGTTTTTGTATATATTTCCCAAGATGTGCACTTGTATTATAATAACCATTCCCAATTTTAGGGGAAATTTGTGCAATAAATACAGTATGTCCATTTACTTCTGGTACCTTTTGTGTCTGTTTTTTATAGGTGTGGGGTCGGCGTTGGTGAGTGTACGAGCTGGAACCGTCCCCAGCTGTGCGTCTCCTCTCCCACATCCCCTCTGGGCCTCCCACCCCTCGGGGCTGCTGCAGCCATTTCCTTTGGGCTCTCTTATGGAATTAGTCAGTTCAATCAGGAATTTGTGTTTGAACTTGCTGTCCCGTCCGTTGTCAATGTCACTGGCCCAAAATAAGCTGTGGCAGGACGGGAGGGTGATCCTGACCTCCAGCGTGGAGCTTCCCACGGAGTCGGGATCCCCACGGGAAGCGGCCGAGGACCGGCACGAGGGGCCGTGAGCTGCAGAGGCCGTGGCTCTCCTCTCCCCCAGGGACTTCTGCTGCTTCTGGCCTCCTGCAAGGCCGGACACGTCGTGTGGCCTCGAGATGAGCAGCTTGGTGTGAGCCGTCACCTGCTGGGGTCTCACGCAGACCCTCTGCTCTCCTGCTGCCGGCTCCTCCTCGGAAGCGGAGTAGCAGGAGGGAGCGTGTTACTCCCGTGTCTTTGTTTATTTTCATTCCCAAAAATATTTGTACAGCGGCGGAATTTGATTTCTAAACCTCTCCCTGTTCCAGCGGTTTGTTCCCAGCTGGAGCTGAAGACATCTGCTCCCAGGGTGAGGAGCCACCGCCCAAGCTCCTGCCCTCAGCTGCGCCCAGCGGGGCTCGGAGCCCGTCCTGCCCAGCCCTGCGAAGAAGAAGGTGCCGAAGGCAGGTGGGTGACGGGAAGGGGCTGCTCCGGCGCTTTGAGCCGTTACTGCTGAAGAAGAGGCTCCTTGAAGAACATCGCGAGTGGCCTGTGGTGAGGAGGGGGCCCCTCGCGGGCGCCTTCCCCCCGCCCTGACGTTCCCACCCGCCACCCCGAGGCCGGCGCAGTGCTGCTTCCCCGCCCGGGACCTGTTGCTCAAAGCCCCCGCGGGTTTAAGCAACACCCGGTGTGTGGGCAGGGCAGGTTGTGCACGCGGGTCCGGCCCGTCGGCACCCCAGGGATGCCACTTTTTTTCCCCAAAAACCCCTTGTAATACAGCAGGTGTTCGGGTGCTCAGCCCCCGCCGCGGGCCAGGATCCGGGAGCTGGGCAGCGCGGCCGCGCTGAGGAAATCTTTGCGCCGTAGGTTGATCCCAGTTTTCAAAAGCAGGGCAGGGGGTGAGCAGAGGCTGTTTCTCGAGCCACAGCTGCTCTGCCTATGCCCCGGCCCCACACAGGGAGAGGAGCCCCGGCCTGGGCGCTGGCGGGGGGTCCTGGGGTGATCCAGCCCTCACCCCCCAAACACCTTCGGGGTTTCTGTTGGCTGTCGCGGTCCTGAGGGCCCCGCAGCCCCGCTCCTGTGGTAATGGTTCCTCTGTCCATACGACTGCTCAGAGATGAAGTTACAGACCAAGAGAAGTCTTCAACTTTCATTCTCTCAGGGTGGAGGGGGCAGGAGGGAAATGTCCTCCCCCGGCTCATCTTCTTTCCCATTCCAAAATCGGAACTTTGTGTGAAGGGAGCTGCTTCCTGCGACGCAGGTCACAGCTCACACGCCCGGGGGGGGGCCGGGGGAGCCCCCGCGGCGCCTCAGATGCCAAAGGTCGGGGCCGTCCCTGGGGCCACCAGGTTCCAGCCCATAAAGACATTGTTCAGTGCTGGTATTTTTTCATTTCAAGATTTCATCTCTTCTGTGCTTTCTAAACCGCTGAGAGAGGAACTTTCTCTGACCACTGTGCCTTTGGCTGCTCCTGTTGTTCAGTTTCTAACCACCGTAACCAGAGCTGCTGTTTTATCTGGAACTTGCTTTTTCTTCTTCGTTAACTCCTTTAGCATGAGTTTTAGTGGCACTGGTGGGACAGACTCAGCTTATTTCTTAAGGAAAACCACTAAGGGGGTGTGGGGAGCTGCAGGGACGTCCTGCTGGGGCTGAGCTGCGTTGGAGCAATTGTGATAAGCGCGACGCAGGGCGGCTCTCGGTGTTATTTCCTTCTTGAGTAGGATGGGCTGAAGTCTGAGACACACGTATGTGTCGCTCGTGGCGTTGCTGGGGCCAGGTGGGAATGCTGAACATAGAGTTTGTCCCGGCCTGTTAACGGAAAACAAATGTTTTCCTTGAGTGGCACAGAAAATGGAACTGGTGTTTCTTCTGGAAGTGCTTGGAGTCAGGCTGGGAAAGGTGGATGAGAGCATTTCCTTGAGAACTGAGCATCTTACTTCCTAAAGGCATGTTTTGTAATCCTCTTGGCTAATAGAACCAATGTCTAGAATGTTTCCGCTGATGTCACCAAAAGAAAAGTGGTTTATAAACAGCCCAGAGCCAGCCCAGAAAGCGGCGGGGAGAGCGCACGGAGGAGAAACCCAAGTCCTCCAGCGGTGATCACGGCACGGCACTGGGGCAGCTCCCGGCGCCGAGACTGGGCCGCTGGTGGGACCTTTCCTGAGCAAACTGGGACCTTTCCTGAGCAAACTGGGACCTTTCCTGAGCAACCAGCCTCGTTGACAGGCTCCAGCGTGGGGACTGTGAAAGGTCGTTCTGCGATGAAGGCGTTTATAAACAGTGACTTTTGGGAAGAGGGTACAAATGGGTTTGTGCGCTTGATTTTCCTGCCAGAGATGCTTCTCCCTTTGGAGAACTTCGATGCGTTTGAAAAGACTACATTCAGCGATTCTTCTATAATTACTTCAAAATTACAGCCACGAGCAATTATATTTTTCAATAGCTTATTGAGCTCACTGAATCCTAAGAAATTAACCACCGAATTTTCAAGGAGTAGGTTTATTAATAGCAGCTGTAACTAGAAATCTTGTCTAATTTTGATCACTACCGAAAGAGCAGAAAGAATAAGGGCTCCTGTTTCCATGTACTAACAATATGACTGATAAAATTTGCGGGAGACATTCTCGGCGAACAAGATAATTACAGCTGTGCTGCTTGTGCCACAATAATTAATGATCGTGCGCTTTATTCTCCGGGCTTGTTTTTCTTGTACAGCTCCAACAGTTTAAATAAAGGTCTTGATCTCTGTCATTTCACATGACATTGTTCTGAGGCTGGTTAGGCTGTAAAAGCCATCAGCCTGGAGGCAAATTTATTTTTCAAAATACAGCGAACCATTTCTTAAATTATAGGTTAGCGAAAAGCAGGCCCTTCCTGGAGAAACAGATACAGTTTTTTTTTTTAAGAACCGTAGGCTTGAAATGATTATTAAAATCGAGGGCCCTGTCCTGGGCTGGTGGGAAGCCCCACTGCTCCGGGCTATGGCAGCTCTTCACAGCTATGAATTCAGAGTCCCATTTTTAGGGGAAAAATATTCCTTAACCTAAAGACAATTTTTCAATTATGTTGTAGCTGATTGTCGCATCCCGGGCTGGGTTTTTCCCAGGGTGCTCGCTGGGAAGCTGCTGGCCCCGTGGGATGGCAGGATCCTGTGTCCAAAAGTCACCGGCCTCGGCAGGAGCCCGGCTCTTGTCCAGTGCAAGTCGTCGGTCTCAGAAATACGGGGTGAATTCCCTCTTTTTCAGAGTGAGTACAACAGAGGCACTTTTAGAGGAAATGTATTCCATCAGCAGTGCCTGTCCCCCGCCTTCCTCGCTTACAGTCAAAGCATGAGAGCTCATTAGGCATTTCTAATTAATTTGTGAGCCGGCTATTTCCTGTTCAGACTGTCAGCTAACGAGGCAGCTGAGCATCATCGCTGGAGCATGTGGCAGTCTTGCTACCGCAGTGAGGAAAATACTTTTGCCAACAGAACTGTGACCGCCTCCTCGCCAGTCAGTCACGGCACCTTCACGTTCGCCGTGTCGCTGACACCCGTCGCCACTCCCAGTCGGCTCCTGGCCAGACCCCGCAGACACTTTTGCAACTGCTGGTGGTTCCCATCCTGTTCGCGGGCTTCTGCTGAGCTCTGCTCTCTTCGTTTCTTACTGTAATTCTCATACGGCCGTTTTCGGTTGCGGATTCTTCACCATTTGTGTGCCCGTCCTTCTTTTAGACCACAACTGGAAAAAACCCCTCCTGCTACCTCAAGGTCTCCTTAAAACAAGCCCACAAACTGTTTCCATTTCTCTTGGTACCTTCTTTAAAAAGTGCAGCACGTTTGTAATACCCTCCTGGAGACAGACCCAACTAGCAGGTCACAAAATAGCAACTACTACAGCAATTGTTTATATAAAAGAAATCACTTCCACTGCAAAGGCAATTTTGCCTTGGATGAAGACAGCAGCAAAACCCAACTGTTCAAATTCAACGCAGACTTCTGTGGAAAGAATCTGCCCACTAGCCAAAGCTCTGAGAAAAATATTAGTCACTCAAACAGTTTGAAAAATTCAGATGTTGAGATACCCGCTGGTACCACCGGGCACGGCACGGCGTGGCGGGGAGCTTGGGCACTTGGAGGGCGGCTTACCTGTGACGTGTCAAAATACAGGGAGCCCCGTTTCAGCTTTCCAGAAAAGTCGAAGCTTGCCAGTTCAAGCTGTGCAGTCATATGCAACTATTAAAAATAATATTTCCTTGACGAGATTGTTCTTGGTGTCACGGTGTTTCTGGAAGTCAGTGTGCTTCCTACAGGCCAGGCAGGTCCCTGCATGAATTTCACCAGTTTTCCCCGATTTTAATGGAAATTACAAATACATTTCCAGACACGGCGCTGCCGATACCCCGACAGCAGCCTCCGTCACCTCTTCAGTCCTTCAGACTGGGAACGCTGGCATCTCAACTTTCACCTAGGCGGAATGAAATGTCTCAAAACCGAAAGAAGTTGCTTCTGCCTCATTATCATGACTGTCGTCCTACCTGATAGATCTTTTCCTGATTTTTAGATCTGTGGTGTCATAGTAAGAAACCAAAAAATAAGCAGCCCGTTCTGCTCTGAGCAAGAGGAATTACTTCCATGTGGGGTGAGTCACCGTAGGTAAGTGGTATTTGTGTGCTTAGGTGGCATCTGGTTTTATTGGGCGGCGCGCTGAGCCGGCACTCGATAACTTGCATCACCGAATGATTCATATCATCATCTGACCTTCATCTAGCTGCTGTTCTGCTTTTATTTCCTTTTGCTCCTTACAAGTTACAGTAAAGGAAATTCTTCCTGTGTTTCGTACACAATGCTTCCTTTCATTCAAGGAAGACTGCGAATGGTTGCACTTCCAGCGTTTAAAACCCCAACCAGTACAATCACCTACTTGATAAAGCACAGGATGGAGGGACACTCCCCCTCCCCTCACATCTACCCCCCCTCCCCATACACACGCCCCCGCCGGGGTGAAATCCCTGCTCCGAGACACCGCAGGCCCGTGGGGTGGGATGGCAGGGCTTGCAGTGAGGGGCCCTCCCCGTTTTGTGGGCGGAAAGGAGAAGTGAGCAGGTCTTCTAGGAGGAGTTTAACTGAGCCCGGCTCTTGCTGGTGCCCCCAGCTCCTGCCCTGCGCCCAGCGAGGCTGTTCTTCCCGGCTCCGCGCTCGTGTCCCTCCCCTGCAACCGAGGAAGGACGGACGGTGCCCCCGGACATTGGCTTTTTGATGCGTGAAGGTCAAATTGAGGCCGGGGGTCTCTCAGCAGGAGCAGCTCAGCTGTTGGCCACCGAAGAGCTGCTGGGCTGAGGGAAGGGGCCACCACGGGCCCGGGGACACCGCGTGCACCCATCCATCCCGCTGCCATCCGAACGCCCCTGACACCGCGTGAGGTTACCACGGCCCGGGCTGCTGGAAGGAGGGCAGGAAGGGAGGAAAACCACAGCGAGTGGAAGGAGAGTCATCTGCAGATCTTTTTAAAGTTAAAAATAGGCAGGATTTTGTCTGCAGAAGACAGTTTGTTCTGTTGGGCTGCTGACATCAT